CACTTCTCTTTTGTTTTCTTCTGGTTATATTTTTGTATTTCGAGAAATTTTCAACACTTTCACTGTTTTTACTACTATCTAAACACTATTATCTAAACACTATTATCTAAACACTATTATCTAAACACTATTATCTAACGTCATTTTACAATTCTGCTCTATTATATTTTGATTAATACTAGTTTGTTAGTCAGTTTAATGAGAAATTTTTCGTTTTTTATTATGGCTTATTAAAGCCTCAATGATAGGATAAGGGACAGTAGCGGAGGAATCGGCATTGGGAGGGGCGGAATTGGAGGGCATGCAAAAGGAATGGAATAGCTGGGCGAGTTGGTAGAGTTGAGGGAGCATGGTATTGAAGGAATGGAATGTGTTGACGGTCAAGGGAATTGTTAAGGAATGTAAGTGAAGAGCATAAGTTAAGTCGGAATTTAAGGAATGGTGGAGATAAAAGTGGATTGCTTGACCGTGGGTATAGAATGTCATAATGTAAGGAGAGGATCCATATTGCAAGGCCAACTTGCCTAAGATCATGCACTTATGGAAGTCAGAGGTCACATCTACGACACTAGACTCTTCTGGCTTCAGCTCAAGTAATTCTGAGAATTTACCTCTTGTGGTGATTCCAATATACAGTCCCAAACGTATACATCAACTTTGTTGTATTGGTCAAACTGCTTTCTATTGAAATTGTGTTTCAACCAGAGCTCTTTAAAACAATTCAAGATGTCTTTTCTCAGTGATTTTGGACACTTGAATTCTTGCATTAGCTGGAACTTGTATTTAATCAAAAACTTGAGCAAGAAAGGCTTTTCTTCATTCAGTATAAATTCTTCTAATTCTACGCAAGGAAACACATGAATCACGCAGTCACTAATTTACCAGTTTTCATTTTTATCTTAAAGGAAAGAAAGAAAGAAGAAAAAAGTTTTGAACTTTGTTGTTTTATCTTCCATTTATTCTAGGACACCCCAGAGGATCTGTTGTGTAAACTTTCAGATCGGGCAGTGGGTTGAAAATGGCCACTGTTAGTAGCTAGAATATTGATTCTCACATCGCTGCCCACATGCCCCACTTTAGATGTCATCACCTTCATGTTCATTCTTTTTCTTAATCTGACATTGCACATCGTCTGGCATACCCCTTTTTTTCACATGGTCTCACATGTTTTCTGTAGGATAGCAACAATTTGTTTACCCCTTGAATAAACAGGTTTTCCAGCCAATAGCACAAATAGCGTCTAGATGAAACAGTCAACAAAAATACGCCCATCTCATCTATATTACCATAGCAACAAACAAATCGATTATCGACAAGCGAGCATAAGATCTATTACAACTACTGTATCTGTATTCTGGTCAGTTAGCCATGAATATCTGTACGTGATAATAAAGTCTGATACTTACTTGTAATATGTATATAGATTCTATATGCTCACAACACTTCTCTTTTGTTTTCTTCTGGTTATATTTTTGTATTTCGAGAAATTTTCAACACTTTCACTGTTTTTACTACTATCTAAACACTATTATCTAAACACTATTATCTAAACACTATTATCTAAACACTATTATCTAACGTCATTTTACAATTCTGCTCTATTATATTTTGATTAATACTAGTTTGTTAGTCAGTTTAATGAGAAATTTTTCGTTTTTTATTATGGCTTATTAAAGCCTCAATGATAGGATAAGGGACAGTAGCGGAGGAATCGGCATTGGGAGGGGCGGAATTGGAGGGCATGCAAAAGGAATGGAATAGCTGGGCGAGTTGGTAGAGTTGAGGGAGCATGGTATTGAAGGAATGGAATGTGTTGACGGTCAAGGGAATTGTTAAGGAATGTAAGTGAAGAGCATAAGTTAAGTCGGAATTTAAGGAATGGTGGAGATAAAAGTGGATTGCTTGACCGTGGGTATAGAATGTCATAATGTAAGGAGAGGATCCATATTGCAAGGCCAACTTGCCTAAGATCATGCACTTATGGAAGTCAGAGGTCACATCTACGACACTAGACTCTTCTGGCTTCAGCTCAAGTAATTCTGAGAATTTACCTCTTGTGGTGATTCCAATATACAGTCCCAAACGTATACATCAACTTTGTTGTATTGGTCAAACTGCTTTCTATTGAAATTGTGTTTCAACCAGAGCTCTTTAAAACAATTCAAGATGTCTTTTCTCAGTGATTTTGGACACTTGAATTCTTGCATTAGCTGGAACTTGTATTTAATCAAAAACTTGAGCAAGAAAGGCTTTTCTTCATTCAGTATAAATTCTTCTAATTCTACGCAAGGAAACACATGAATCACGCAGTCACTAATTTACCAGTTTTCATTTTTATCTTAAAGGAAAGAAAGAAAGAAGAAAAAAGTTTTGAACTTTGTTGTTTTATCTTCCATTTATTCTAGGACACCCCAGAGGATCTGTTGTGTAAACTTTCAGATCGGGCAGTGGGTTGAAAATGGCCACTGTTAGTAGCTAGAATATTGATTCTCACATCGCTGCCCACATGCCCCACTTTAGATGTCATCACCTTCATGTTCATTCTTTTTCTTAATCTGACATTGCACATCGTCTGGCATACCCCTTTTTTTCACATGGTCTCACATGTTTTCTGTAGGATAGCAACAATTTGTTTACCCCTTGAATAAACAGGTTTTCCAGCCAATAGCACAAATAGCGTCTAGATGAAACAGTCAACAAAAATACGCCCATCTCATCTATATTACCATAGCAACAAACAAATCGATTATCGACAAGCGAGCATAAGATCTATTACAACTACTGTATCTGTATTCTGGTCAGTTAGCCATGAATATCTGTACGTGATAATAAAGTCTGATACTTACTTGTAATATGTATATAGATTCTATATGCTCACAACACTTCTCTTTTGTTTTCTTCTGGTTATATTTTTGTATTTCGAGAAATTTTCAACACTTTCACTGTTTTTACTACTATCTAAACACTATTATCTAAACACTATTATCTAAACACTATTATCTAAACACTATTATCTAACGTCATTTTACAATTCTGCTCTATTATATTTTGATTAATACTAGTTTGTTAGTCAGTTTAATGAGAAATTTTTCGTTTTTTATTATGGCTTATTAAAGCCTCAATGATAGGATAAGGGACAGTAGCGGAGGAATCGGCATTGGGAGGGGCGGAATTGGAGGGCATGCAAAAGGAATGGAATAGCTGGGCGAGTTGGTAGAGTTGAGGGAGCATGGTATTGAAGGAATGGAATGTGTTGACGGTCAAGGGAATTGTTAAGGAATGTAAGTGAAGAGCATAAGTTAAGTCGGAATTTAAGGAATGGTGGAGATAAAAGTGGATTGCTTGACCGTGGGTATAGAATGTCATAATGTAAGGAGAGGATCCATATTGCAAGGCCAACTTGCCTAAGATCATGCACTTATGAAAATCAGAGGCCACATCTACGACACTAGACTCTCCTGGCTTCAACTCTCCAAACATACCAGTACCATGGCAAACACCAGCAGAGCCATACACATCCACGCGATAGTCAGGTCGACAATGGAGAATGTTGTGACCTTTCACAAAAGCGGTCTTATTCGAGCAGTGAGGGATGATGGAAGGAGAGGACTTGGTGATGCCACGGATTAAGGGATGGATGAAGGATGATTGGATGTGCATTTCAGACATGGCGGGAACAGAAGGATCGGTGACTTCACAAACGCGGGTCAAAAAGGAAAGGAGGATGGATTTAAGGATAGGATCATGGGAGTTTTTGGCATATTCAAGGAGTGTTTGGGAAAAAAGGACAGTATCATGATTGGCAGAAAAAGAGGTGAAAGCATTTTGAATGGGGGAGAGGGAATCGGCGGAGAGGGAGGGCAAAGAAGAGAACAAAGGAGCGGTAAGGGTAGCATAGACGGATTCGGATGTGGGGGTATCTAGGAATTCGGTGCGACATGAGGGGGAAAGGAAGACGATGTTCGATAAGGAGAGGAGTTGTTGGTTAGTGAAGGAATGTCTTTTTACACAAGCCAAGCTGCTTGCTCTGTAGTTAGTGAATTGAGGTTTCAATTCAACATCAGGGATGAGGACACCATTACTAATATCGCTCAAAGAATACTTATCAATATGCTTGATCTTAGAATCAAGCACAGAAACACCAGGAGAAGCCTTCTTTGACCTAGAGGCCACTGTCACCATGGTTGTATCCTCTTCACTGGCCACGCCTCATTTGCAAAAAACGACAAATTGGTAACAGAAACTTGTACTATTCTTAGACATGCTGAAAGATAGCTTTGATGAAAGCCTATGTGACGAACATTACAAAATTACAGATTTTAGAATAAATAAGCCAACAAGGACAATCTTGTGACGGATTCACATCCGGCGAGATTGAAAAAATGGTTTAAGGACGAACTAAGTGCCAGTTAACATGGTGACTGTAACGAGTCAAATACAGTGAGGCTGATGATTGTGATGATTTTCGATCTATACAAGTTTGTGAAATTTTGTCAAAGCAAACTAACACATCACCGTTTAAGTGATACAATACTCAAGATTCACATGAAAAAATACAAGAATACGAGGAAAAATGGTAGAAAAATTTTAACAAAACCTTGTTTTTTTTTATATAGCTTTAGAAAAAGTGATAAAAAGGTAAAATTTAAAAAATTCTATTTATTTTAATTTTTTATGTACATTAAAAAAAATTTTTTAGAACAATTGCTATTTTAAAAATTTTTTTTTAATTTCTTATTCTTTTTTGCAAAACACTTTAAAAAATAATCTGTAAAAGATTAAAATTTACGAAAACAAATTGTTTTAATTACATTTTTTTTTCTTGTAAAAATTATTTAAAAATACATGCATAATTTTTTGTGACATGTATTCGCAAAGTTTTGTAAAATATTTAAAAATGTTGTTTTTTTGTTAGTAGTTTTTTATTTTTTGCACATTTGGTAGAATTGTGTCTCGGTATATATTTTTTCTCCAACATCCACATTATTTTTTTTAAATATCTACAGCTATCAGTAGGTGCAAAGCATTGTGTACGTTGTTCAGGATGATATAGGAACGATTTATCATGACTTTCTGTCACTACCACTTAAGGTTTTGTGTTTTTGAAGACTTGTTCTTTTTGAAACTATTGTACTTTGTGGAGCACTCAACCAAGTTTTTTATTCAAAAAAAGTAATAAGGGCATACGTTTGAATTTTGCTAGAGACAAATTTTCGCTTTTTACCTTCAAGGTCAAATAGGAAGAGAGAACTAGCTGTGGGATTTTTCATTGCGAGTAACAATTTGAAATTTGTACAAACTCTAACTCGGCATGCTGTTTGATGATAGATCACGGTTGATGAACTTCTCTGTTGCGATGGTTCAGACGACCTTTGGCAACAATCTACACTAACTTCAATTACATTGTTGCCTACGCTTAAAAAGATCAGCGGTACTTTGGATCATAGGAAAAAAACCAAACTCCTGTTAAGGCACAGATTTCACTAGTCTTGTGGCGATTTGCCAAACTCACTTTGGACTTCCAATTGCCGAATCTTTTTTGGGAGTAAAAACAGGAATATTGGACAATATTATAAATCGTTTTTTTGAGTTGAATGGTCACCTGACCTAAAGATGTCTGCGCAAAAGCTGAAGAAATTTCTAGCGGCTTTCATGGGTTTGCATCTGATGACGAGGGTGAAAGGTCGAAGGGTGTCATTGGGGCTATTGATGGGAAAACGCAGCCAATCACAAGCCTTGTGAAAGAGGCTTTGATCATGTTAGTTGAAAGGGGCATGCGTCCTTCAATATGTTCGCTGTATAAGGCTTTAAAAGCTAATACTAATAGATTCAATTTGGTGAAACTAGTACATGATTGGTCTAGGGTTATTCAAGCTTTCATCAATTTAGAGAAGCGGGCAGGGAACTATAAGCACCCTGAGCAATGTTGATTGCAATAGGTATGCCAAATGTGCAGGCAGCAACTTACGAGCATCTAGGGGACAAAAGTCAATGCTTTGAATGGTTAGAGGCATTCGCATCAATCGATCTCTTGTGGCTCTTTATATTTTCGGAAATACCGAAGCAAATGGTCTTGTAATCAACACTTAGCGGACTAGTTGTTTGACTTTACTAATATTGTTCGCTAAACAAACAAGAAAAAGTAACTTTTTTGCCAATGTTGTTCGAAATGTTAACAACTTTAATTTTATTTTTCTAAAAAACAAGCCATATCATTCAAAAACATTGATTTTTTTGTTTGTGGGGAACAAACTTGTTCGTTTTGTCAGCAATAAAAGTACTGCGACAATAATAGTAGCTTTATGAGCAAGAAAAACTCTTTATTTGTTTTTTACAAGTACAATAATATTGATAATGTTTCCCGGTACTGGTGAATGTTGTTTTGGAAAAGAGTTTTGACATTGCCTTGTTCTAATTCAATTAGTTTGTTTGTTCTATATGTTTAGATGAGATTAGTCTGCTTCCATCGTTTTTTTCCATTTATAATAAAAAAAGGAGCACTACTTGAATCTAATAAAGACAAAAATATACAAGCAAGGCAAGAGTGTTAAATGAGCAATTCGCTTTGTCACTCGGAATTGAGACAACACTGATAGACACAGAAAATAATTTGTATGTAGTATATGGTTTTTTTAATAAAAAAAGGAAAAAACCACCATCTTGCTATCCATCAAACTTACCTGACAAAGTGCATGTCTTGTACGAATAAATAGTCAATTCCTTTAGGTGAGCATTCTTTTTGAGAAAAAAAAGTTGGTTTTGAGTGTATTGAAGGTGTGTAATAACATATCAGACTTACTATAAATCAAGAGACAGCAAGAACTTGTTTTGGAATCTAGAAAATAAAAGGCGCTATGTTAGCTTTCAAGTAGCAAAAATAGATTAAACATACTTTGATTTTAAATGGAAGCAGACTAATCTCATCTAAACATATAGAACAAACAAACTAATTGAATTAGAACAAGGCAATGTCAAAACTCTTTTCCAAAACAACATTCACCAGTACCGGGAAACATTATCAATATTATTGTACTTGTAAAAAACAAATAAAGAGTTTTTCTTGCTCATAAAGCTACTATTATTGTCGCAGTACTTTTATTGCTGACAAAACGAACAAGTTTGTTCCCCACAAACAAAAAAATCAATGTTTTTGAATGATATGGCTTGTTTTTTAGAAAAATAAAATTAAAGTTGTTAACATTTCGAACAACATTGGCAAAAAAGTTACTTTTTCTTGTTTGTTTAGCGAACAATATTAGTAAAGTCAAACAACTAATCCGCCATAGTGGGATCCACAAAAAACTATATTTCAACAAGGCAACGACCCAAAACACAAAGCAAAGGCTACCATTTCTGGGCTTAAAGCCCACACAGTGAACTTTATTGCTGACTGGCCACCTAACAGTCCCAAATTGAATACAATAGAACATCTTTGGAAACAGTTAAAGTGCAGGCTAGCCGGATATGATACAAAACCAAAAAATCTGGACGAACTGTGGTCAAGGGTCGAAAAAGAATAGTACAAATTTTGCAAAGGCGACATGGAGGCATACTATAACAACATGCCTCAACGTATAGAAGCAGTCATCAAAGCAAAGGGCGGTTATACTAAATTTTGAGCATTTCAAATAAAGAATAAATTTTGGTGAAACACAAATTTTCTCTCTTTTGAAAATGAAGCGCTGTTATTGGATGCATTTAGGAGTAATTAGCAGTGTGAATATTATTGTCAATGTCTAATTAATCTATGTGCCAAGTTTCAGAAGGATCGACTGAGTTTTTGTAGAGAAGGGTAAAAAAACAGGTTTTATGGAACACTTAGTGTAACTACTGTATATTTTCCTTCTATATCTTATCCGTTTTATATTTATCTATTTTCTTCTATAGTCTCATCTCGCTGTGGGATGTTGAGCTTAAATACTTTTATCTTACAATTTTGAAATAAATTATCTTTTTATTCTGCTATTCTTCGGTTTACACGCTTATAACATTTCAAGATATCGTAGTTAACAGGAAATGACATTGAAAAGTTTAGAATTATGAGGTTAGTATCTTAATTTTCAATCATATTCGTTTCATATATTCAAGTAATCGTAGAAGTGACTCCAGGCTATACTAGTTTCCCAGCAATTACATATTCATTTACGCAGAAAAAATAGTTCTTCGAAGGGTGATGAGGGCGATAACAGGCATATTTTTTTACTTTAATCTGTTTTTATCCTAATATACTACCAAATGTTGTATGTATTTTCTTAATATTATGCTCTATTATTACTTTCATTATAGACATTCTTTTTATATTTCTGATAAACTGAATACTATTTAATACTTTATTAAAGTCTTCCATGGTTATGTTGACAATCTTTTTGATTTTATATAAATTCAGTTTTAATTTTCTCTGCATATTATTTTCTTTATTTCTTTTTCTCCATAAATATTTTTTAATATGTAATGTGATGTTTTTCTTATTTCTATTTCTATTTCTAGGGAGAACATCATATTTAAATCCATTCCATCTTCCTTCAATTGTGTTAGTATGAACGCCTGTTTCAAGATCTTAGAAATGCTCGGATTGATTAACTGTTGTATATCTGTATTCTATATCCTTAGTATTACTATATCCTTTCAAGCAATTAGTATATATGGTAGTACCTCTTTTAACATATTTTTTAATAATTTCATCTATGTTTTTTATGTTTCTTTCTTAAATAGGTAATAAAAACATTTTTTGTTTTCGTTTTTAGTTTTTTTTTAATCTGCTTTTTTGCATACCTCCTATTAACCATATACTTTCAACTTTATGTCCTCTATTGTATTTTCTTTTGGCTATTTTATTCTCATCAAACTCTACTACTTCATTTCTATCTCCAACTTTACTACTTAGTTTAAACAATTTTTTATCTTTTAAATATTCTGTGAACTAAAAAAAAATTGTGATTGCTTTTCTATCTATCTCTAAACTTGATGTCAATACTGTAGGAGGTGACTTCTTTAGAAACTCATATAATAGATGTACTTGTATGTTAACAGGTAGTTTTATCTTACTAAATATAGTATTTGTTAAAGGGGAGATAGATTTCCTACATTTATAGTTTCTACATTTAAGTAACTTTCCTTTAACGTAATAAGTCATATTTGAATTACATTTACCAAACGTTTCATTTTTATTGACATAGCTAATA